GAAGATTGAGTTCAAATGTGGCCTCAGAAGCTTAATAGTTATGTGACTGTGTGGGAAAGTCAGTCAGTCAGTCAATAAGCATTTATTGAGTGCCTACTTTCCCTTCCCTCTTTCCACACAGGGTATCATACCCTTACCTGAGGGTGCTCTGTCCAAAGGAATGTAAATTTTGATCTCTGAAACATTTTCTTCTTGTTCTCTGTGACTGGCCAACAATAGGTCCGAGGCCAAGCCCCACTTGGTGATTGTTTGGGAGCTGACTGGCTCAGAGTGAATGTAAATAGCAATTGTTTCTGTTTTGGTCAGAAACCCCAAGGGTCTTCCCCTCCCAAATTGATTTTTTTTTTGACTAGGTAAAAGAGGCCATTCTTTGCCTCATTTCTTACTTAGCCTTAATCAATGAATGGGTATTGCCTCAATCAAACTGAGACCTGGTAAAGATCTTAGCTTAAAAAGGCCAAGGCGTCTCATTGCATCCAGGGTCATCTCCAGTCATCCTGATCTATAACCAGTAGAACCAGATGGCTCTGGAGGAGAAAGTGAGGCTGGTGACTTCACAGCCCTACCTCACTAAAATTCAGTTCACTTGCATGTCATGGCATCACCCTGATGTCATGGTCCTCTTGGAGGATGAAAGGACAAACAACAACAAAAATACCAGGTACTGTGCTAAGTACAAAAAGAGGCAAAGGAATTCACAATTTAATGGAGGAGACAACAAGCAATTTATACAAACAAGCTTTCTACAGGATAAATAGGAAAAGGTACTAGAATTACAAGGTTCTGAAAGATACTTCCTGTAGAAGCTGGAACTTTAGTTGAAACTTGAAGGAAGCTAGTCACTTAACTGCTGCGTGCCTCAGTTTCCCCATCAGAAAATGGGGACAAAACTAGCACCTACCTCCCAGAGTCATTGTGAGGATCAAATGAGATACACTTGTAAAGTGTTTTGCAAGTTTTTAAGTGCTATATAAATGCTAGTTATTATTACCATTTGTTATAAGGGATAATTCTCTGCAAGGGGGAAGGGGAAGGATACATTGGGAAATATAGGTTATATAAAAAGACAAGATCAATAAAAAATATGCTTATGCAGCAAAACTACACCGGGTCCATGATGAGGTAGGGCTATTTGGAGGAACAAGGGGGCTAGGAATACATGGGGCACCATTGCTATAGAATAAGGGCTTTAGTGAGGTGGATTATTGTCTTTTCTTCCTTTTCCCTTTAAATCACAACTGGAGGACTTTTTTTTTCTATGTAGGGCTATAGGGGAAAAAAATCAATGAAGGGGCTATATCAGTAAAAGGTTTTTTAGAGAGAAATATAACATGTTACATACTTTCAATGACTCCAACCTCTTCCCTGGAACAAAGGACCATCTTTTTTAGCAATGATATTTTTCTGGGGATGCTATATGACTATGAGTCATGGAATGCCACAGTCTCCAAAGAATTAAGATTGGAGGTCATCGGAAGGGCAATGGAGAGGCGCATGGTGGGCATTAGCAGGCTGGGACATATTACAAATGAAGAATTGTGTAGGAGAAGCAGCATAAAGGATGTCATTGGAGAGATGTCGAGACAGAAAAAAAAATAAGCAAGCCCTATGGTGAAATTGAGAGATACCAGCTAGATGGTTTTCATTGGTATCCATGTAATGTTAAGAGAATTACAGACAGGTTCCCATCCAGCTGGGTGGATCTCTGGGGAGAACTTAAGGCAGATATGTAAAAGAATCACCCAGGATGGAAAGGAATGGATGAGTTCTATTTCATTTTATCTATTTAAATAACTTATTTTTAAAATAAATTTATTTATTTTTAATACCATTTAAAAAATTTGAGTTCCAAATTCTTTTTCCTCGCTCTTACCCATCTCCTACCCACTGAGAAAGAAAGAAATTTGATATCAATTATAGATGTAAAATCATGCAAAACATTTCCATATTAACCATGTTGCAAAAAATGCAGGAGAAATAAAATGAGAAAATTATACTTCAGTCTGTTCTCAGACTCTATCCATTCTCTCTTTGGAAGTAGATAGCATTTTTTTCCATCATCAGTTCTTTGAATTGTCTTGGATCATTGTATTGATCAGAATAGCTAAGTCATTAACAGTTGATCATCGTACAATATTGCTGTTGCTTTGTACAGTGTTCTCTTAGATCCAGTCACTTCACTTTGCATCAGTCCATATAAGTCTTTCCAGGTTTTTCTGAAACTGGAATGGATGAGTTATAATCTGCATCCTTAGAGGAAGTACCCATATGACTGAGATCACAGAGCCACTGAAGCATTGAAGTATAGCAGTTAATTAATTCTTGAACACTTACTTTGAGCCCAACACTGCAATTCATCTATCTTTCAAATTAAGAACAGGAAACAATTTTTCAAGATATAACTAATAGCTCAGTGCTCCTGTCTCTGGGTTTATATAGACCCAGCCCAATCTTGGGGCAGCCCCTCCCCTCCCAAATCACTTTATTTGTTTGAATTCAATTTTATTTTTTTTCACTTCCAAATTCTCTCCCTCCCTCCACTTCCCCTTCCTCCCATCCCCTATTGAAAAGGCAAGGAAAACCAAAATCCATTATAAAAATGTGTAGTCATATAAAACAGTTTCTTACATTAGCCCTGTCCAAAAAGAAAGGAAGAAAGAAAAGGAAAGAGAGGAAGGAAGGAAGGAAGGAAGAAAGGAAGGAAGGAAGGAAGGAAGGAAGGAAGGAAGGAAAATGTTCTCATTTGCATTTTGAGTCCATCAGTTCTCTACCTGGTAGAAAAATAGGCGAAGAAGGAACCCTAACAAATGCTTTTTATGACACAAATATGGTGCTGATATCCAGAACAGGAAGAGCCAAAACAGAGAAAGAAAGCTACAGACCAACTTCGCTAATAGAATATTGATGCAAAATTTTTAAATAAAATACTACCAAGGAGATTACAGCAATATATCACCAGGATCACACACTACAATGAGCTGGGATTTATACCAGGAATGCAGGGCTGGTTAAATATTAGGAAAACTATCAGCATCATTGACCATATCAAAAACAAAATCAACAGAAATCATATGATTATCTTGATAGGTGCAGAAAAAGCTTCAGACAAAATACAGCACCTATTCCTATAAAAAAAAAACCAACAACAACTAAAGAGCATTGGAATAAACAGAGCTTTCCTTAAAATGATAAGTAGTATCTATCTAAAACCATCACAAGCATTATTTGTAATAGCGGGGATAAGCTAGAAACTTTCCCAATACAATTGGGGTGAAGCAAGGATGCCTATTATCACCTCTATTATTTACTATTGTACTAGAAATATTAGCTATAGCAATAAGAGAAGAAAAAGACACTAAAAGAATTAGAACAGGCAATAAGAAAACAAAACTATCACTCTTTGCAGTCCTAGAGAACCAATTAAAAAACTACTTGAAATTATGAATAACTTTAGCAAAGTTGCAGGATACAAAATAAACCCCCACAAATCATCAGTATTTAAAATATTATCAACAAAGTCTAGCAGTAAGAGAAAGAAAGAGAAATTCCAATTAAAATAACTGTAGACAATACAAAATACTTGGGAGTCTACCTGCCAAGACAAACACAGAAACTGATATTGATTAAATACAGACTGAAGCATGCTAGTTTTCACTTTCTTTTTTTTCCCCTTTTATTCAAGTCTTCTTGTACAAAATGATTAATATGGAAATGTTATACATAATTGCACATGTATAACCTATATCTGATTGTTCACTGTCTCAGAGAGGTGGGAGGGGAGAAAAGGAGGTATAGAATTTGGAACTCAAAACTTTAAATAAAACTGTTTTAAAGAATTGGGAAAAAAGTTCTCTACTTGGACATGAATAACATGTTTCATCATGAGTGTTTTGAAACTGTGATTGGTTGTGTTGTATTGCTTAGAATTCTTAATTCTTTCAAAGTTGTTTATCGTTACATCATTGTTATTATTGTATAAATTGTTCTCCTGGTTGCACTCACTTCACTTTGCATCAGTTCATACAAGTTTTCTCAGGTTTTTCTGAAACTATCCCTTTCATCATTTCTTACAGCACAATAATACTGAATATACCATAACTTGTTCTGCAATTCCCCAATTCATGGGTATCCCCTCAGTTTCTAGTGCTTTGCCAACACAAAAAGAGATGCTATAAATATTTTTGTATGGATAGGTCTTTTTTCTTCTTTCTTTGATCACTTTGGGGCATAGACCTAGTAGTGTATCTTAGGGTCAAAGGGTATACATAGCTTAATAGCTTTGGGGGCATAATTCCAAATTGTTTTTCAGAATACTTGAACCAGTTCTCAGCTCTATCAATAATGCATTAATGTTTTCCTGCAACCCCTCTAGAATTTATTATTTTTTCTTCTTGTCAACTTTTCCAATCTGATAGGCGTGGTGATACTTCAAAGTTGCTTGAATTTTCATTTCTCTAATTAATAGATTTAAAGCATTTTTTCATGCAACTATTGATAGTTTAGATTTCTTCCTCTGAAACTTGTCTTCATATCCTTTGCTCATTTATCAACTGGGGAATGGTTCTTATTTTTATAAATTTTACTCAGTTACCTACATAGCTTAGAAATGAGACCTTTATCAGAGAAACTTATTGCAAATACGTTTGTTTCCAGTTTCCTGCTTCTCTTCTAATTTTAACTGCATTGGTTTTGTTTGTGCAAAAACCTTTTAAATTTTATGTAATCAGAATTGTCCATGTGAATCTCTCTGTCAATTGTTTGGTCACAGACTCTTCCTCCATGCACAGACCGGACAGGTAACTTCTTCCATGTTCTACTAGTCAGCCTTTATTTCTAACTCATGTAACTGTTGCGAATTTATCTTGGTTGGTTGGTTGTTGCTCATTCTTTATTTCTGAAAAGAACCAGTGACTTCATGGAGTGGTGTCTTGACTTGTTCATGAATTGGATTTAAGTGAGGCAGCACTCTGCAAAGTTGTCGGCCTCACTCTCTCCTGCAGAGTCATCTGAGTCCAGTGGCAAGACATGGGGCAGGAGACTGGTGATGGCCCAGGATGCAAGAGATGACCTAGAAGTCTTCGATGGTATACTTTGTAGCTGGAGACCTACACCCAGCTGCTGGTGCATTGCTTTCCAGTTTTCTCAACTGTTCTTGTCGAAGTGAGTTCTTGCCCCAGTATCTTTCCACATATGCTTCTGTTTTGTTTGTGTTGCCTCTATCCAGGGCTGTCTCTGGGAAATCTCAGAGTACAGTTGAAATAGAGCTTGTATCTAGGTCTCCAAAGATATTGACTTAGAGGGTCCCAAGCTTCTGCGCAAACAACTCAAGGCAAAAATGCTGGTTAGCCTTTATTCCTCAGTGTAGTAAGTACCAATGCAATATTCAGGACTCATAGTAGCCCATAAATAGTCCATAAGATTCCCTGTCCCTCTAGGGTTGAACCCATCCATAGAGTAGTAATTAATTAGCTACTTGAGATAGCGGATTTGGTGTCTTCATATAAACACAATACAACTCTACAGTGGGGCACAGCCAGGACTGCAAAACCCTAAAAGAATACTGGAAGGACTAGTGAGATGTTAGCACATAGATTATGCTAAACATGACCCCAGATGAAGTGAGGAGAAATGAGGAGTAATGGGTGAAGGTTTTATAGGAAGCCTTGAGCTTGTTATAAAGCAGAACTTCCTAAGAACAGAGCTGACCACAAGTGAAATTGGCTACCTCAGGAGGGGGTGGGTTTACCCTCATTGGAGGTCATCAGGTGAAGAAGTAGCTAGGTGGTACAATGGATAGAGAGTTGGGCCTGGAATCAGGAAGACCTGAGTTCAAATCTGGATTTTGATACTTACTAGCTCTGTGACCTTAGGAAAGTCATTCAATCTCTGTTTGCCTCTGTTTCCACAACTGTAAAATGGTGATAACAGCAGTACTTACCTCTCAGGGTTGTTGTAAAGATCAAATGAGATAATGTTTGTGAAAGCACTTAGGGCACATAGTAGGCATATGGCACCTATGTGGCCCAGTGGATAGTGTTGGACTTAGAGCCAGAAAGACCTGAGTTCCAATGCTGCCTCAGATACTTATCAATTGTGTGCCCTTGATCAAATCTCTTTCAGTCTTCTTATCCTCATTTGTAAAATGGGGATAAAATAGCACCTATCTCCTAGGGTTTCAGTGAGGATAAAAGGATCAAATAAGAATATACGTAAAGTGCTTTGCAAGCCTTTAAAAAATCTTGTAGAAATGTTAGCTATTATTATTTTTTTTTTATTAATAATCGTTACTAAATTCTGAATTCTAGAAATACAACCTGCAGGCAATTGTATCTTTTTTGCTCTGACAGTTCATGAAGTCCAGCCTGACTTTGCTACCATGCTTCAGCTGCCTTCTCCTTGTGCTCCTGGGGTCCTCTTATCCCATTGGTGAGTTCCTCCCAGCACCTCCATTGGAGGAATGGTCTGGGGCCAGCCATACTTCACTCTTGCCCTCTTCCCTGTCTCCCCCAGGTACCTTCCTTCTCTCCTTCCTCACCCTTTCCAAATAGTTTTTATATGATGTCTTTCCCCATTAGAATGGAAGCCACTTGGGGATAGGAGTTTATATTTGCATCTCCAGGACTTAGCATAGTGCTTAACATAAAGTAAAGTACTTAATATATGATTGTTGACTGACCTGGAAAGATTGTTGTCCTGGTAAGTTACCATTGTGAAATTTAGGTCTTTGAAATATTGCTGTATTGAAGGAAGTGAAGGGGAATTTCTTGGGGGGAACGATGGAGCTTGCTTTAATGCGTGAAAGTATAGCTTAACTATAAACTTGTACAGCAACCTCTCACTCTGCCTCTAAGTGGGATTGGACCAGTGGTTTAGTTACTTGTGGGACTTGGGTAGGGCAGAGTTATAATGAGAAAAAGATTTATTAGTGATACTGGAGGGGGGGTGGTGGTGCTAGGGATGAGACAGGCATTTGAGAGAACTTAAATTGTTGGTTTGGAGCAAAGAGGAGCAGGCCTTTATCTGATCCTTATCATTTTTGAACAAAATGAGGTACAAAGGAACCAGGACAAAGGGAAAAGCAAGCCCAGTTTGTGCTGTTCGGGTTGGGTGGCTCAGTTCAGAGAAACTGAGTCAGGGCTAAGTGCCCTCAACTAGGAGACTTTCCGGGCCTGGGAGGTCACTGGATAAACTGACAGTTCAAGTGGCTGTCAGGAGAGTGGTTTTAAACCTGACTATTGAGAGCATAGTTTGGAGCCCAGGTTAGAAAACTGCACTTCCTCTCCTGGGCATTAAGAAATTAGAAGAGGGGACTCAGCCTCAGTCTGGTGACTAGGGTTATGGGACTAACAGGAAAAGCAATGATTCCCAAAGATGAGGGCCTAGAAAAGGGATCTTTGAACTAAAAAGAGTGTTGACTCATGAAGTATATATAAGAGAATTTTTAGGTTTGGGGAGTACTATTATCTCAGAGTTCTCCTCTTATCTATCTGTTCCTTCTCAGTCTTCCTTACTGGATCTTCATGGGTGTTCTCCAAGGCTCTTTCCTTGGCTGTCTTCCCTTTTGCTTCTATGGTATGTCAACTCCTATGGACTCATTTGTCATCTCTGTGCAGATGACTCTCAGATACACTTATCCAGCCCTTATTACTATCCTGACCTCTTGTCTCACATCTTCAGCTACCTATGGGACTCCTCAAATACTACATGTCTAAATTCATCACCTCCCCAACACACACACACATACCCCAATTTTCCCTTTTCCTAACTTCCTGATTACTGACAAGGGAACCACTTTCCTTCCGTCACTCAGACATGCAACCTAGGGGTCAACCTCCACTCCTCGATTTTTATCAATACCTGCCCCGCTACTCCCATTGCCGCCATTTTCCTTATCCTGTTCTTTATGCTTTCCTAACATCTCTTGTACTCCTCCTTCTCTCTTCTGTCCCCACCACCATCCTGATTCAGGCCCTCATCACCTTACACACATGGCTTTTGCTTTCCCTGTCTCAAGTCTCTCCCCACTCTAGTACATTCTCCACTCAGCTGCCAAACTAATCTTCCTACAGTGTAGATCCAACCATGCCACATATACAACTCCCCTCCCCTCCATTCAGTAAAGTCCAGTGGCTCCCTACTGCCTCCAGGATCAAATATAAATTCCTCTGTTTGGCTTTTAAAGCCCTCCATAGCCTGGCCCCTTCCTATCTTTCCAGTTGTTGTCATTTCAGTCACATCTTACTTTCTGTAACCCCATTTGGTGTTTTCTTGGCCAAGATACTAGAGTGGTTTGCCATTTCCTTCTCCAGCTCATTTTACAGATGAGGAAACTGAGGCAAACAGGGTTAAGTAACTTGCCCAGTGTCACACAGCTAGTAAGTGTCTCAGGCCAGATTCAAACTCAGGTCTTTCTGACTTCAAGGCTGGCACTCCATCTGCTGTGCCACCTTACTTATCTCCATCTACTCTGTGATCTAGTGACACTGTCCTTCTTGCCTCTTCTCAGAGCCTCATCAGTTAACATAGTGCCAGGCACATAGTAGGTACTTAGCAAATGTTGATTGATTGATACCTCTTACAATACACTTCATCTCCCAACTCCATCCATATTCACTAGCTGTCCCCCTTACTAGAACTCTGTCCCTCCTTACCTCTACCTTCTCAGCTAAAATCCCACTTTTTATAAGAAGACTTTCCCAGTGCCTTTTATTGCCTTCCCTCTGAGATTATGTCCAATTTATGCTGTATATATCTTGTCTGCACACAGTTGCTTGTATGTTGTTTCTCGAGAGTGGGATCTTGTCTTTGTCTTTCTATGCATCCCCAGTGCTTACCACAGTGCCTGGCACATAGTAAGTGCTTAATAATACTTGCTGACTTCAGGTTGTTTTTTTTTTTAGTATTTAGGCCTGTACCACACTGAATAATATGAAACTATATTTATAATTGACATCAAATCCTCTCTCCCTCAGTAATAAAGATGAGCTGTGCACTTGAATTGCTTGTGTGTTGGATAACAGTACTGCTGGAGATGAAAAGCAAATAGGGAAAGGGGAAAAAGTCATAGTTGGGGGAAAATAAATATTAAATCAACTTTTAAAAAGCAAAAAAGAAAGAAAGAGGATAAAAGGTGTGGGGTCTGTGGATGAGAATTCAGAGTATCATAGAATCTCTGAGCAGGATGAGGCTTTAGAGGCAATTGAGCTCAGCTCCTATCTGAGAGAATTCTCTCTCATTATCCATGCCAAGGGGTCAACCAGGTTCTGCTTGAAGATCTCTGGTAACAGGGAACTTACCACCTCATAGGGACGCCCACTCCATTTTCAGTCAATTCTAATTGTTGGGAAGTTTTTCCTTGTGTTTAGCCAGAATCTGCTTCTCTTCTGTCCTCTCCTCTGCTTCTTGGACTTCCTGGCTCTTCAGCCCATGTCCCTCCTTCAAGTGGTCTTTCTTGGTTCAACCAGCTATTAGTCATCCCTGCCCCTTCTTCTGCATCCCAACTCTGAAATCACTTTATATTTATTGGTACTGAGCTTATTTTCCTATGCATCTGTTGTATCCCACCAGCTCTGAGATTCCGGGGACTGACTCACTTTTGTGTTTGTGAAGCTGATTTGTTTTAAGTGGCCACAGACCTCATCGCAGAAGTCCTGCAGAACTGCGGTGTTCACGAAAATCAGAATAATGACATACATAGCCAGGAGCATGTGGAAGACTTCACCACCTATAGGAAATCCTTTTCCCTTTGATGTTGGTGCAGGAAATCCTTCATGATAGGGGCAAATACCATTCGCAATCAAATTCTCCCTGTTTTATGCCTCACTTGACACTAATAAATCAGAAGTGTTGAATAGAGTTATCCCCGTGGTTGTGTTTATCAGGAACTCATATCGTTTCAATGTAGATACAAAAAGCCCCTCTGGGACAAGGGCCTTTATAGTTACGTATTGTTCTACTGAAGCACATTTTGGTTGTTGTTTTAAATCAAAGGTCAACAAACTACTACCTAATATTACTGGCTACTTGTTTTTATGCTGCCCCAAGCTAACAATGGTTTTGATATTTTAAAATACAATAAATTTTAATTTAAAAATGTAAAAACCATTCTTAGCTCCCAGGAAGGCCACACAAAAATAGTCAGCAGGCCTGATTTGGCCCACAGGCCACAGTTTGTGGCCCTGTTTTAAATAATAAACAAATATGAGAGAATAGCACAGTGGCTAGAGAGCCAGCCTCAGTATCCAGGAAACCTGGGTTCAAATCTCACCTCTGACACAGCTGTTCAACTATGTCTGACCCTTCATGACTCCATGGACCTTGTCCATGGAGTTTTCTTGGCAAAGATACTGGAGTGGTTTGCCATTTTCTTTTCCAGGGAACTAAGGCAAACAGAGGTTAAGTGACTTGCCTAGGATCATGCAGCTAGTAAGTGATTGAGGTCACATTTGAACTCAGGTCTTCCTGACTCCAGGCCTACTGATCTATCCACTGAGCCACCTAGCTGCAGTTAATAAGCATTTATTTTCTCTCTCCCTCTTCCCATGGAAAAAAATACCAAATCCTTGTAATATGCAGAGTGAAGCAAAACAAATTCTCACATTAGTTGTATCTAAAATGTATGTTTCACTCTGCAACTTGTATCCATCATCTCTGTTAGGAGGTGAGTAACATGGCTCCTCATTGACCCAATGGAATTGTGGTTGGTCATTGCATTGATCAGAGTTCTTAAGGCTTTTAAAGTTGTCTGTACAGTTTAGTTACTGCATAAACTGTTCACCTGATTCTGTTCACTCTGAATCAGTTCATATAAGTCTTCCCGGGTTTCTCAGAAATAGTCCCTTTTGTTGTTTCTTATGGCACAATAATATTCTATTACATTCATATGCTGCCATTTGTTCAGTCATTCCCTAGTTGGTGGGCATTTCTCTTTTTTTGTTTGTTTGTTTGTTTTTTGGGTAGGCAATGGGGTTAAGTGACTTGCCCAGGGTCACACAGCTAGTAAGTGTTATGTGTCTGAGGCTGGATTTGGACTCAGGTCCTCCTGAATCCAGGGCCAGTGCTCTATCCACTGTGCCACCTAGCTGCCCCTGGTGAGCATTTCTTACTGAAGACCGGTGCTGACTGACTGTGATTTCATCCTCCTTGATGATGAAAGCAAATCATTAAAGAAATGCTGACAAATCAATTTCATTTTCTTTCTACTTGTTCTCCTTCCAGGATCATCTATAAATGCTCTTGGTATCATCTGACTTAGGCTTCATTAACAGACATGGTTTCTAGAGCCAGAGAAACAAGCTATAATAGTCCCCTTCTATTTTGCCATGGCCAGAGAGCGAAAGGAATGTTTTATTCAGCTCATAGTGTTACATTTTTAGAGGGACATGGACAAACTAGAACCTTTTCAAAAGTTGCTGAAGGGACAAGATAGGATGGGAATAGATTTCTGATTTCATAGGCTATTGTTAGAACCATACCATGTCCCACTAATGCCCACCATCACTCTACCCATTGACTATTGGCTTACCTGCAAGTTTAATTCTTCAGAAATAGTGCTGTTCCAGGACTTATAACAACAAAACATCACAGGACAAACACTAGTGTTTAAAAAAATGGGTTTTCATATCATGGAAAAACTTGGGGTCACAGAAAGCATGACATAGTTTCCCAAATGCAATCCAGTCTGCTTTCTTTCTTCTGAAGTTCAGTTCTCAGGCCAGCTCACAGTTACTACTAAGGGACTCTCTCAATGGACTGTTCATTTGGCTGTGGGTCACAGTTTGAGCAACAGATAGTTTTCATCCACTTAGTTTTTCCTGATGGAAAGAGACAGAGAAGCAGAGAAAGTGCAAGAAATAGACATATACAAAGATGCACAGAAATGTAAACACAGAAAACGAGATGAAGAGAAATAGACGTGAATACACTGAGGGGGTAAAAATCTCAGAAGCTCAGAAATGGGAGAGATATCAGAGACTGAACAAGAATCCCTCCTCTAACACACCCAACAAGTAGGCAGGCACCCCACCACTGATTGACTGAAGACCTCTAGTGAGGAGTATCCTTCGTAAGGCAATCCATTCTACTCTTGGACAGTTCTAATTATTAGGACGTTTTGCCCTGCATTAAATCTAAATCTGCCTCTTTGCCACTTTTATTCATTGCCTCCTGTTTTAACCTCTAGAGCCAAGCAGAACAAATGTATTCTCTCTTCCACATAATATGCCTTCAAATACTTGATAGATATATTGCTGCCTACTGTTCAAATGATTTATGGAATGGTCTAAAGGTCTGTCTGTTCATTCACCTTTGAATGCTTTCTTACTTTTCATTGTTGGCCAAGAATAGACGTGGCAACAACTCATGAGGAACTTTCCCTGAGGCTAACATCTGCCTCAATAAAACTAGAGGCTAAGGGAGTAGGACTTGCTATGCTATGAGAATAACATTTTCATCCCGATTGGAATAAAAACTTCACCACCATTTAGGGTGATTGGTGACTTCAACTGCTCAAGGCACTCTAGAGAATAGATTTTGATAGGCTAGAAATTGATTTAAACATAATGAAGTTGACAACAGCTGCTAAGGAACTTCCCCTTCCCTCACCCCAGCTGAATTGTCCTTCCTTCCTTCCTTCCTTCCTTCCTTCCTTCCTTCCTTCCTTCCTTCCTTCCTTCCTTCCTTCCTTCCTTCCTTCCTTCTTTTCCTATAGATAAAGAGACTGAGAGTAAGAAAGGTAAAGTCAGTTTTGTCATCTATATGTAACCTAGGGCTCAAGCTCATCTGCATAAGACCCTCCTCATTGGTGGAGAAATGATTACTTGATACTTTACATCTGTGTTGGGTAAGGAGTTATCGAGAGCTCAGGAGAGGAGAGATCTGAGTTCTTTATGAAGATTCTGATTCTCTTCAAGGGGAGATCCCTAAAGGAAAAGATAGACTCCAGGAGCATGCTGATATGCTGAGGAGCTGGTGCCTTGATCACGTTCCTATCCACAGCTTACTCTTACCATACTAGAGACTCTGGGGTAAAATCTGGGACTCTTTCTCTTTCTCTCTCTTCTCTCTCTCTCTCTCTCTCATATTTTGCTCCCAGTGAGAGAGCTCTTCTTTCTGTGTGTATTATCTGGTATATTCTAATCTGTGTAACTTCTCTGACTTCTGTTTGTTATTGCCTTGGATAAATAGGTTTATTTGTTATACACTCTGTGTAATGGTCTTTGTGGAGCTGGCATTTGATGGAAATGAAGTCAAACTTTTAGAGTACTTGGAATACCAATTCCCCATTAAAGGGACAGCAATAAGGAGAGTGGCTTGAACCTAAAGTATTATTTCCCTCAGATTAACAGTACTTGGGGGATGGGATAGATATAATTCTTTTTAAATTTTATTTGTTTTATATTTGATTTATGAAATAAAATAAGCATTTCCATAACATAGTAGAATAAAGCAAAGATGATTGCACATGAAACTACAAAGGACACATGAAGGATAGATATAATTCTAACCTGGTAACCTTTATCTGAGGAGAACAGAGGAGCCAGCCTCATGGCTCCTGTTAGAAATCAAATATTCCCTTGGAGAGAGTTAGGCTAGGAAATTCTAGAGATACTTGTTCACATCTCCCTGTGAGTCACATATAAACTCTGCTCCATATGAACACACTATCTACATGGGCAACAAAATGAATACACATGTACATACATACATATACACACACACACACACACACACACATACACACACATACCCCTTACATATACAATGGTTGCACTCATTGACTTCTTTTTTTCAAATTATTTTTTTTTAATTATTATTTGGTTAGGCAATGGGGTTAAGTGACTTGCCCAGGGTCACACAGCTAGTAAGTGTTATGTGTCTGAGGCTGGATTTGTACTCAGGTCCTCCTGAATCCAGGGCCAGTGCTCTCTATGCACTGTGCCACCTAGCTGCCCCTACTCATTGACTTCTGATTTCTTTTCTAGCTCCACAGTTGAATTTGTGCAGTGGTAGAACCATAATTCAAACTCAGATTTTTTTTAACTCCGAGGCAAATATGTAAAATTCCTAGTAACTATAAAATAGGATAAGGACTGGATCACTGGTTTCACTGGCATAATGAATTCCCAGATGAGGAAACTCTCTCTACTAGTGCAGGTTGCTGCAACTTGTAGTCTTAGAAAGTTGCCTTAACAGTCTGAGAGGTTCACTTGCCCAGTATCCTACTTCCAGGGTGGTTAAGAAAGGAGAATTAAATTTAGGACTTCCTGACTCAGCTTTCTAACCACTATACTCACTGCCTCTCCTGTAAATGTAAACTGTATATGCTATATTAATAGAGTTTTTTTATTATTATTTATAAATATACTGGTTCATGGAATCTGATCATTAACATTCAAACTTGGTTTTCTAGTGAACATTACTGTCTTTTAACTTGTATCATTTACTTCTTAGGATATTTGGGGACATACATCACTTTGAAGTATGTATATGAGACATATCATTATTGTTTTAACTACATTTGTTAAACAGATTGTTTTTTTAATATCTTCTGTATACCCAGTTCTATGCTAAGCTCTTAGGATGGGAAAAAAAGATAAACACATGGTACCTTCCTTCAAAGGTTGGAGGGGCAATATATATGTGTAGCTTAGGATCCCTTCATGAATGCCTTCTAAAAACTACCCTAAGTTCAAGAATCAATAGATTTTGGATCAGCCCCTACCAATATTTCTCTTTTAATATACCAATCAGAAGATTAGTTCAATGTAAGAGTCAATCAATTAAATAGTATAACAGTAATTATCATGGAAA